TCTTCAAGTTTCCCACCTTTCAGAGTTACACTAAACAATGACACATTGGCTCAGTAAAACGTTCAAAATAACATGAGAGGCAGTTAGGAAATTTCGATTATTCACTATGATTATAGTGGTTTAGTCATAAATATAGATAAAAAAGAATAGTGGCTAATTACGTCTTAAATCAAAAGTCAACCACTCTGATTGGAAGCAGTATTCTCATGGTGTGAGTTGCATCATGCTTCAAATAAACCATAATCAATGATCAAGCAATGAAAAAATCAAATGGACGTCAAAAAAAATTGCAATCCCAAGGCCCTGAGGAAATTATTGCCTCAGGATGCGCAAGATACCCTCTACTGTTTGATCAGCTTTAACAGTACATTGACAAACTCCAGGTCCATTAGAAGAAAGCTCGAAACCAATCTGTATTCTGACACCTAAACTTGAGCCTCGTGATAAAATAAGTTACCTCTAGACCTGGACATTTTTTTACTTGCATCTAATAAGTGTGCCTCAAAGTCAGTTTTGGTTCTTCTAGAACTTGACTTCCATCTAGCCCTCGTTTGGCCCCCATTAAATTCAATTCTATTACATTTCATTTTTCTCTCTCCTATTTTCAACCACACAATTTTTCATAAAATAATATTACACATAAACCAAAAACTTTCCTTCTTTTTTAACCACTCATTTTTCAAAAAAAAAAAAAAAAACACTATTCCACCCATTCTCATTTCCAAAAAATGGGGGCCAATCGAGGGCCTAATCTCCATATCAATCAAAAAGATTCTTTAATCACTGAATTTTCTTAAAACGAAGGAGACCTTGCTAAAAATCATTTGAAGTGCTAAACAATTAATAAATGAAAAGAAACAATCAAACCCTGGATCTAAGAAACTGAGATAACATATGATTCCTAGATATCCAAATCAATAGTGGTAAATTATTTCATCTGATATAACAGTTAAGCAGTAAAAGGGTACAGTAGCTGAAGAAACAGGCAAACTGCAATTGCAGACCAATATAGAATGTAGACTTGGAAGGCAATATACGCACATATTGCATAGTTGACAGTAGAGCACGCAAATTTCCTTCTTTCCCTGCAGCCCAACGCTTGATTTCAATATCCAATGTTTCGGCAATCCTCTGTAACCAGAGAACATCAAGTTAAGGCAGATGAAAAACTATATGAAATTTATTCAGACATATCTACTAACATATTCAGTCTGCAATGTGATTTGAGCTCGCTTGATCTAAAATTTGTTGAACAACTTAACTCACATGAATTCTATACAGTATTAGTCAAGTAAGAAGCAGATATAGCTTTAATACTAAGGATGAGTTGTAACTAAACTGCAGCATAATATAAATTACAAATTTGAAGTTAGCTTTTGTGTAGCCTTAGCCAATGTGTTTATAAACTGTTTAAACACTCGAGCCACTTTTTATCAACACATTTTGAGGGGCCCACAAGTACTGCCCACTTATCCAACCACTCATTCCTATCTATTTATAATTTAAACTGTCTATATACACTTCCCAAACATGTCTTTATTATGTTGTATTTGGCCTCTATATTATAACTTGTGTCATCAACATGTACGTGCCATGTGTAGAGAAATTTTTTGCCCGTGTGAAGTAACAGTTGCAAAGAATTACAATCCAAAATACAAAATACCATCTTGAATAATTTCTGTATCAACAAGAAGATGGTCAGCGAAAACTTCGTCATATGATATGATTCTTTTACTTGAAGTATCAACAAGAGGAATATTAATTTTTTATTCATCCACTTTGACAAAGTGAAATTAAATTATTTAAGTATCAGTTACAAAAAGATCAACTCGAAAAATGTGACTGCTAAAAACTGCAATGATAATTGTATGCACCGCATCTGTGAAATATGAAAGGAAAAATTATTGAAAAAAATATGGTGCAGAATTACACATTATGAGCACTCCATAGTATAGGTGATCTACCAAAACCACTGGAGGGAAACTGGGAAGGGAGAGCAAGAACTAGGTTTGCAGATGAAAGAGCACAAGAATAGAACAATAGGCAGTCAATTAAAACATTACTACGAATCAGGGAATTTCCATTAACCTACAGAAAAATGCGCTGATAGTCAAAGTCGCTAACGCAGATACCATTTTCTCTTTAGTAACTTACATGTCTTTCTTCCTGATCCCTTTGAGCTTGAAGATCCCGCTGGTTCTTTTCAGCAAGTGCTTTGGCCTGATTATACAGAACCCAGCTATCAATAAGAAGCAAACACGTTCCACGGAAGATGAAGAATCTACATAATGCTAATTGATCTCCAAACTGGATAGGGAAAGAGTTTCATATGCAGGAAAGCACAAACACCTACCGCCCGCTCTTGAGTGCGTTGGTGGCGCTCGAGTCTTGCTCTTCTTCTTTCTTCAGTTTCCCCTTCAACCTCCTGGAATGCTCCAGATGATTCAGCAGCTACAAGATCAGATAAGTTTGCGAGCAATTAATCAGTCAGCAAAAGATAGATTCAAAATAACCTTTCGATGTTAGAACAGTAGATAAATAGTGGCATGCCTCCAAAAATAGAAGATAGATCATCTACAATGTTAGTAGTGGAAGAAGCTTTTCGCATATTGGAGGCCCCACTAGAAAATGATGTCCTCTTTGCAGCTTCAGATCCTGCCTTCTCCTGGAATTGCTGGTTGAATAGAGGATCCTGAAAATAGTAATCAAACAAAGGAATAAACACAAAACTCGTCAAAATCCCACAAATTGAAAAAAGACTCATAAACATGTCACATTGTTTTGGCATTAACACTTACAACCGAATCTGTTCTGGCCCTAGGAACACTGCTCGCACGAGATCCCATGCCGAAAAAGGACTCCAGATCATTATCATTCTTTTGTTGGCTCATCTTTGCAGCAGCTGATGCCTTTTC